CAAAGGCGTGGAGTTTGTTTTGCAAAAAAAGGGAAAGCGTCTAAGCGCTGGTTCTGTACAACTTTATTTCACGAGTTTGAAAGTTATTGCATGCACTGTGACAGGGGAAACCTTCAACGCCCCATCCATCAAGAGCACGTACTTTGAACTTACAAAATCTGTTACTGTAGAAGTTTTCACACTACAATTTCTACAGTTTTTCAACTTTGTTTCTTAAACAGAGTTGTATAGTCACAATTATTTTAGAAAAAAAACCCAAGTCTTTCAAAGTGCATAGTTTTCTCTGCAACGTTTTTGTTTTCGACGGACTGCATGTGTTCGTTTTGTTCGGCAATGATGATGTTGTCAATTTCAATAAGATTGGTCATTGGATGAAAGGAAGATGCATTTTTTTCTGTAGACCTTTTGCGTATAAAACTGATATGTGGTGCTAATATAGTGCTGTATACATATAAGGTTTCAGAGCGCTTCATCATGATTACCCTACTCAAATTTGATCCAATGAAACATTCCAAGGGGAGTATACAGCTCCATGCTGCCATTTCGGCGCAGGGCAGCCAACATCAACCACAATATTGTCTCTTCCCTCACATGTACCCATTTACTCCTGGGTGGAGAGAAGCACCGTAAGATGGGGTATCTTTGGTCTTTGGTCAGCACCTGTATTTTAGTTACAAGTGAATATAAATCTCTGTGAAACAAGATTTCTTCAGTAAATTTTATATGATTAGTTTCAGAAAATGCCATTACAAAGTTTAATGCACTTGTGGATTTGAAGTGGATACTTATGTAGGTCAAACTGCAAGAGGTCAAAGGTCAGAGGTCAAGGAACAAGAAGGTCAAATGGCATTAAGGAGACCTTTGAGAAAAAAAAGAGTTTTTTTTATTAAGGAATCTAGGGTCAAATGTTCATTATATCTACTTTAACCTGGAAGGAAACAATTTAAAAAGTGACCTTTTTTGCCCATAAGAATTATTAGGGCTGGCCAATGTTGCCCCAAAACGGAGGCAACATTGGTCACATCTTTTTTGGGCCCACCCCCTTGTACTATTTTTGGACACCAAACAACACCAAAGTGTAGAGTTTAGTCTAAATTTTCGGGAAAATCTAATTCACCAAGTTTGTTATAAAAGTGATAGTTAAATATGTCTCAAAAATGACCGAGGTTACCCCCATTTGACGGCAAATGAGTGACAAAGCGCCTTGCCTAAGGGCACACGCACCAAAGCCGCAGGCTGGACTGGAACTCACAACATGCAGAATTACCCTCAGATCACGAATCCAGTGCTCCAGACCACGAGGCCACGGCACTCCACTTTATAGAAGCCATCTTAGATGGTTCATGAAGTATGAACCAAGCCCGGTTCATACTCGACGCGAAAGCGAAAGCGAATTCGTGACGACATGGCAAGTATTCGCGCTGCGAATTCGCAAAAGTTGAACACATTTCAACTCGGACGAATTTCGCAGCGAATGTTTCATGACGTCAACTTCGCTTCGCTTTCGCATGAAGTATGAACCGGGCTTAAAGATGCCCGCTATAGTAAAAGGTCTATACAAATAATGTCTATCATATTCAAACAAGTTTGACTCGTAACTTAAGCTTGAAAAATCTATTCAGTACAAACTGAGGAGAAGTTAGATTTGTAAGTGCGTGGGTAGCTGTCATCATAGCTACTTTTTCGGTGCCTGTCTCTGACTTGAACTTTGCTTTATCATCGTACATTACTGAAAACATGGCACGGGCAAGGTCGGTGAAAGTGGGAAGTTTGATAAAAGGGAGTGTAAAGAATCAAGCTTCAACGCTCATGCATGCTGTATACTATAGAAAAATAGTTCATGTTTATGTAAATTACACATGTGCCGGTTGTCCCGTGAAATTAAACCAGTGATTGTCCAAAAACAAATGGGCGAAAAATGCCGCATTTTCACTTCATCACAGTCGATATTGTTGTCAGTTCAGTCATGTTTGACGGGAGCTGCAGAGTTTCAAGGCTTTTGGGGAGTTGTTTGTCTAGCAGTATCATTGCCTATTTGCGTGGCAAGGGAGTTGTCGCTTTGGTTTTGACCCCGTTTTATGAATTCTAAAGAAAACAAAAGTAAAACGAATTAGTAAGGGGACTTTTTAAAAATAATTGTCTTTGACGGTCTTGGAATGAGTTTCAAAGTTTAACATAACTACCAGTTTGTGGGCCGCTTAATCTGATCCTGTGTGAGGGCACGTGAGGTGGATGTGAATTTATCAACAGGCATCCTAAATTTAAATTCCACCCCTCCTAAAATCACGTCCACGGCTGTACTATAGGGGTGTGCAGTTTTTACCGGTAGTGCGGGACCCGGGTCCCCCCTCCCAAAAAACAACAACACGAGTACCCGGGTACCCGTTCAAGAAACCCAGCCCCCCAAAAAATACCAATCTCCGAAGTTGCTGTTCATTACGTTCATAAAGGTCCGCACGATAATACAATGGTAATTCAATGCAGCACGCAGCAGGTGTGTACATTGAGATTTCAAACTTTATATACAAAATGTAAAACTTTCTCGAGCATCACAAACGTGAAATATGTTCTGTTTTTCCATGAAGCCTTGTTTTCATTTTGAAAATTCCCCACAAATGACATTAATTCGAAACTTTGTTTGTGAGCGTCTAAGAAGTGACTACAAATTGTTTGATAGTTGGTTAGGGCCCACGGATACCAGATTTCATTATCTGGAACCGGTTCCTAACATTCGATTACTCGCAAGTAACCGGCTCTGTTGCACAGCCATTGCCATTACAGACTATTTACAGACGCTGACGAAAAGATGCCTTTTGGAGATCGAGCAAAGTTGATCCCTCGTATATATTGATTCTTCTGTGCACATGAACAACTACTGAAGACTGTTATCATAGCCCTGTACAGCTGCAATTCCCATTTTGGTGGAAATTCACGGAACCATGCCATTAAACTAGTATTTATTATTATTATTAGATAATATTTCAGGCAACATCGAAATACATGGCAATTTAAATTTACAATTTAGGCCTACAAAATTCATTACATTAAAATGACAAGACACAATAATGGAAAATTGGAAAAGGGATAAAATACAAAGGGCTAAGATATACAAGAAGCTAAAATACCAGAAACATTCAATTTTACCATGCAGGTCTGCAGGGTTGCCTAAAAAGGGGACTTTAAAAAAAAAGAAGCTTATCGACGGGATCTCCAACTACAACAGTAATTTTGTTTGGCACAAGACACAAAATCCATACTTCAAATCACAGCTGTGCAATTCCCGCTTCCCATTTGAATTCAAACTTATATCACTGGTTTATGCAATGTCATCACTTTTCAGCGATATTCCTTTAAACTGCACCATTTTTTTAACATGATTTTATATCAAGCCTTTCAAAATGCCGGGTTGTATCTGTGCCTAGTCTAAAGCAGAGCGCTTTCTAAGTTTCGGCAGTCCGTTTGCTTCTCATCTTGCTCCACACTTGTCTTGAGCTGTGCTCGGTTTGCCATTCCAGTGTAGGCCTAATCTACCAATAGGGGAATTGTTTGAAGTATTTTTTATAAAGTACATTATGAGTATCGTAATCTTTGAATATATCAAAAACTTTTCCTAATATGACTATAGCCAATCTTTACATTTCGGAATAGTGTCATGGTTTTGAGAAACATGGCACACTGCTGTAGATCTATGAGAACGTCACATGCAGTCTCAATTTGAATGCGGTCATTGGTTCAGCCCTTGATGGGAAATGAAAGGCCGTAAACAATCTTTAATTTCCCGGATCGTCTTAGACGAAAGTACACGTTTTCTCTCTCGGAACACCACTGGCCAGGCTTCAGCACTGGTGATTTGGAATTCACAGTGTGTATTAACATTTGGATAATATCCACGTCGAAATTTCAGAAATGAAAACGCACACAGTGCCATTCCGACCCTCCAAAGGCGGGCCAGCCGGCCGTGATCCACGGGGGACTAGTCGAACAAACTTGGTGCTCAGGCTGTTTGTCCTGGTATCATGGGCCTCAATTGGCCTCATTTAGGCAGTAACAGACTTTGTTTTCTACAGAAGTTAAGAAGTGGTAGGAAAGGTATTTTTTGGTAATTAAGATAGGTGGGCAGTAGATGAGCTCTGAATTTGGCAGCCACGGCAGGCCAACTTTTTAGGGTTGGTATTAAAGTATTGGCCTGTACGTGTAGGTGAGGACAATCCGAACAAAAACTCTCTATAATGGTTGCATTTAGAGGTCGGATGGATGAGTCCTCCCACAGTAATTCACGCCATTTAGTTTGATCAGTGGTGTGATGAAATCAGTCAACCTTAGGAATAGACTGTCGGTTTAGGTACTCAATCACTGATGGCAGCCCATTGGGGGGGGGGGGGGGGGGTCTGAGGATGGACCAATCAGATAACGGAATCCTGTCCATCAAAGTTTGCCAGCTTATCACAAGTTTAGGTACTCAATCACTGGCGGCCCATGGGGGGTCTGAGGATGGACCAATCAGATAGCGGAATCCTGCCCATCAAAGTTTGCCAGCTTATCACAAGTTTAGGTACTCAATCACTGGCGGCCCATGGGGGGTCTGAGGATGGACCAATCAGATAGCGGAATCCTGTCCAAAGTTTGCCAGCTTATCACAAGTTTAGGTACTCAATCACTGGCGGTCCATGGGGGGTCTGAGGATGGACCAATCAGATAGCGGAATCCTGTCCATCAAAGTTTGCCAGCTTATCACAAGTTTAGGTACTCAATCACTGGCAGCCCATGGGGGGTCTGAGGATGGACCAATCAGATAGCAGAATCCTGTCCAAAGTTTGCCAGCTTATCACAAGTTGAGTTTGTCCACTCTTCGTTCTTGGGTGGAAACTGCACAACCTTATCTCACAGAGTGAGGAACGGACGGTTGCTGATGTTTCCATTTCTTATTTTAAAAAAAGTGATTGAAAACAGTACTTTGAAGCAAGTTGAACTAGTTTAACAGTGTACACGTAGGCGTGGATATGAATTTGCATCCTAAGTCGCCACTGCTCCTCCGGGCAATTCTCCTTTTGTCAACGATCCTGGCAGGTAATGTAATTTTGTGTGTTCTGTTTGTTCTTTCTTTTACTTTGCGTTTAAAGTGACCCCGAACTGCAACATTGCCGGTATTTTCATCGTAGTATTGCGTCTTGTAACACATTGCGAGTGGTTCAGTCGCAAACGAACAATTTCACGTGGACAAGAATACGCCCACACAGCAACAAAACCGAGTTCTGAGAAACTCGTCGGAAGTTTGTTAATTTTTCAAATCGCAATTTCATATACATTTTTACCCCCCCCCCCAACAAAGTTGAACAATATAAAACTGATGCGATAGCCTAGTTGTTAAATAACCCTGCTGTATCTCCGTTGTCGTATACTATAAAGGTTCGTCACTTCGTCAAAAAAAATAATTCGGAGTACGCACAATCGTCGTGTGTATAGGCCTATTATTATCTAGCGTTGTGTTGGTACACAGATTCGCCACAGATTCGCCACCGTTGCCACAGTATCGCCACTTTGTATAATTATCGTAATTAACGAACAATTCAATTGTGTGTCTTGAAATTGAAATGCGGCAGAAAACGTAGAGGAAATCATTTAGTAAAATGGTAGAATATCAAAAAATGCCATATTGCTTAAAGTTTACCGGTTTAGACGGATTCTTTACGTCACCTCAGTCGTCAAAATTGTTACGACAAGTTGATGTTCAAGATGACGACAAGATGAAGCTTAGAAATGGCATTGTTATTTAGTGGCTTCTTGTTAACGTTTAAAGCCCAAGATTTAGTTCACTGAAGTGCAAAATACATCTTCATGGGCCTACAACATGCACATCCGCAGTGGAGTTTAAACAAAAGATGGCAAGAATGTTTTGAGGTAACGTTCGTCAGCAAGACGATTCAGTGTTCAGATTATTTACGCGTCTATCATTTAAAGGCATAGGATCATTTGCAGTTCATGCATTTGTTCGTTTCCAGTAATAACATCCCTCAAAATACAAAGAACCTTCAAAGCTGCACTTCGTCAGCGTTTTCACGAAGGGACGAATTATGCATGCTCAAAAACATTTTTCAAAATTCCTTTTTTTCGGCCGAAATCGGTTAAGTGAACAGCAACGAACATTTTGGCCAAGTTTTTTTTCGTCAAAATCAAATCATGACAATCACTACTGATTCTTCTTTGTTGTTGAGTTTTCTTGAAGAGACAAATTCAAACTCTGTCACGTTCTATGGGGCAAAAACAACGCGCGTGTGGAATTTAAGCAAAAGGGCGCTCTTGTGGGATTATTAGTTTTCACGAAGAGACGAATTCGCACAAAGGGTATGGGCAGTGGGTATTGGCAATGTGCCAAAACAGCAGGCGTGTGGGATTTTGAGTTTTTACGAACAGACACATTTATGGAGATTAATTACTCAGCATTTAATTGTTCTGTTATACTGCAATTGGTACATCTTTTTTCACAGTGAAAAGTTGCTGACGTCATTAAGTCAGTTTACTTTCACTATTGCGTTATTATGGCTTTGTTTTTCGGGCGGTGACACACGAACAAAAGCCGGCTTGGAATTAAGTCAGTGTGTTGTGTCCCCGTTCGCTGATCTCGAGATATGTTTCGTGTAGGCCGGTTTGCCGTTCATAATTTTTTTTTACTTCAGCGATGAACAGTCGTCACTGATACCTTCCTTCCGTTTTTGGTCAGTAAGGCCAAAAAAAAAAAGTCTCCGGTTTCTGGTATGCGCGCGCGTCGCCGTAGCCATGCGCGTCGGCAAAATGAAAAAGTTTTTTTTTTCAATGAAAGATGATGTCTCAAAACCGCCAAACTCACTGGTTTGACTGGAATCCTGCTGCTGCACAATTTTAACGTGTTTTTAGATTGGGTTATGGTCGAGAATAAGCTTTATGTGGCCTCTCTGGACTCCCATATATTTGCACTAAGTTTAGTGGGGCACCATTTGAAGCAAAAAAATCAGGTAAAAAAAAAAAAGAAGCCGCATCGCCGCACCACTTTTTGGGCAAGCTCCATACCAGAAACCGGAGATCTTTTTTTTGGCCTAGCCCTAACGTAAGGAATTTGACATTTTTATTGGGTCGGTTTCATGGAGCAGATAGAAATGTTTGAGCCCATTCACAGCAGGCACATACGGTCAACGAATTTCTACACGGGGTTTGTTTTAGCTGTGTTGTTCACAGCAGTGCCAGTGAGGACAACATTCAATTTCAAGTCTTTTGAGAACACTAAACTAAAGGTGATGTACGTACCCTGGGCTTGTGATAAGCTTTGGGGAATCCTTCAAGTCATCTCATGTAAATACCTCATTGAAATTGTCTCAACCGATGGGATCAGGGGTAGGGGACTATTTGATCATACCCCCCCCCCCCCCCCCCACACACACACTTTTTCGTGGTGAGGAACAAAAAAGGCGAATTCAGAGGTACTTTTCGAACCTGCCAAAAAAAAAGTACCCATGTTGAAAAAGGTACAAATTAAATTTGCCGTTATGATGTGAGGCTAAGGGGCATAAGCATACATAAGATGTATCATGAACAGAGCCCCCTAGTGTTCTTGTGATGTCCAGCAAGCCCCCCGCCCCCAAGTCAATTTTGTTTATGTCAAATGATTTTGTAATCTTTAGGTGATTGCTGTCCAGCTGGCTGGCACAGAGAGGGAAGTTTCTGCTTCAATGTGGTCTACTTTGAATCGCAAGGAGACAGATTGGATTGGGGTGACGCTGAGGCTGCCTGTATGAAAGACGGTGGGCATCATCTTGCCAGCATCCATACTGCACAGCAACAGTACTATGTATACGGTGAGTATTAACTCTTCTCTGCAGGATTAGCTGTGGATACTCGACATGTATTGAATTATATATTAGTGAGTATAAGCCAAAATATGTTGTAGCCAGACCTTTGCATTTGCTTACGGCACTTTGTTTGAAATGTGACTTTTCAATCCCTCTTACGTATCCCTCTTACGTAATCCCTCTTACGTATACAACACAAAAAAACCTCTGCCTGCCTGACTTTAGAGGCATTTTGTAAAGGCAGTCTTGAACAGAACTTTTGTACTAGCATGACATGCAGGAGACAAGGCGAATAAATACAGGGCTTGCATCCTTCCAAATACATTTGTACGTGTACAAAAACGCTCTGAATTGTCAATCAGCATCATTTTCGTATTCTACATGGGCCGGGGTTAGTGAAGGAATGAGCATGCAGCCCATGAAGTCGAGGTTGCTAAGACTTTTCAAAGAATATGATGTCCTTAAACGAATTAATTGGTTTTAGAACATTTAGAGGCAACAACTCCTTACAAATGAATAGCTTTGTATGTTGTGCTTGTTTCACGCTCAAGCTGAAGTTAGAATTTGGCCCGAGTCGGGTGTTGGGCTTGGTCTTTGCAGTATGTTTACACCTACACACACCGAAGTGATATGTGCGTTAAGATGGCAATTACGTTGACTTACATTGTTAATTGTAATGTCTTTTTGGGTTTTACAGAAACCATTGTGCAAGAAACCAACACTGGCTATTGGATTGGATTGACTGATGCTGATGCTGAAGGTGCTTATACCTGGATCGATGGCACTGATGGGGTTAGTTGTTAGTTAACATCTATTCTTTCTTTTTTTGGAGACATCATTAGATATCCAGGTGTACCTGCACACACACCTTTATAGCCAACAGAGAAACGCTGTTGCTTGCTTCTTAGCACCCCCCCCCATCATATTGTGCCTCGCAAAACTATGCGAACATGTATTTTAAACTGTGGTAAGAGCCTGGCTGAACAAATTGGTATATTAGTTAGTAGCGTGTGTGCATATATATACAATTTAACAAAAACAAAATCAACCTTTATTTAGAAGCCACCCTCCCCCTAACAAAACACCAGAGGAAAAACAAATAATCAGCTTAAAGAGCTTAATTAAACCAATGTTTTTGAAAAGCAACCAAAAAAAAAAAAAAAGCAACAGCATTTCCATATCTGGATTACGAAAAAAATATTATATAAACTTACAAAACAATGCATTGGCAGGATCTTTGTTTTTGTTCATCAAATTTCAGGCCATTTAATGGAAAATATTGTAAAAGTGAATTATTATTTCACCATAACTGTTTACTGTTTTCTTTCTCGTGTAGGATGTGTTCTTCTGGAATACAAATAGATCTCCTGCGGAACCAGATGGAGGAAAAGGGCAAGATTGTGTGTTTATATATAAGGATGAAGGTGGTGAGATGACTGACAGAGACAATGCATGGGGTGATGACGGCTGCATGACAAAGAACAACTACATCTGTGGCGAACGTGAGTCAAGGGTTATAGATTCATTGCAAAGCTCTTAAAGAATTTCTAAATAACCACCACTACAAACTGTTACTATAAAACAATAGGCAACCTATACCAATATCTTGAACACGTTGATCTCAAAATACTGCAGTCATCTTTTGTAACCAAAGTTCATAAATGATGATTTATGCTCCTGCTTACTGGAAAATACACATTTCTCATTCACAATTACTAGCCTAGACCTGTGGCAAAAATGTCCAAGTGTAATCTCTCAAAACCCAATCTGCCAGGGTAATGGAGATTAAATGCATTAATTTTGGAATGTTTGTTTGGAGATTGCCAGTATCTCAGTGTTAGCTCATTATTACTTAGTCTGAGTCTAGAGAAATCCACATAATGTCTTACACTTTAGAAAACTATTGAAAATCCTTGTTGCAGTCAATCTGATGACCAGTCATTTGTGGCCGTGTCTATAGGTGGATTTCCAAAAGTGGATTGGCAGTTGGGTTGATAAGGTTTGTTACGTGCAGAGTTTTGCAAAAAACAAAGTCTTGACTAAAGTCAGGACAAAAGGCAACACCCATACTTGTGTCGGCTTGTTTTTGATCGCAAAATGTTTCGCTGTTCTGTTGTTCACTTCACAGCTGCCTATGTGCTTGTGCCAGATGTGGAGAATCAATGTATTGATGCCGCCCAAGCAAATGTTTCGCTGACCTGGACAGGAGTTACTGCCCTGAAGCCTGGGACTATCGTCGTTGGTTCCGTCACTTGTATTGACTCGCTAGATGGAGCCAGCATCTCTCTGACCGGGGGAGACTTTGGACTAGGGTCTCACACAATCACTTGCTCTGCTAGTTTTATGGATGGAACCATGGACTGGTCCAGTTTCACCTTCAATGTCACAGGTAAAAATATCTTAAATGGGAACACCAGTATCCATGTTTTCGTCAACAATAAGATCATGAGACTGCCTTTACAAATGAAAGGCCGTTTGTTGAATACAATGTTTTGTTTACTGGAGAAAAAAAATGATTGGAATAGTAAAAACAACTGGTTTTCAGGTGAATGTTGTGCATGATGTACATGGCACTTCGTGACCACTTGTGATAACACTTTGTGCTGGTACACTGCGTGTGCACACACTCTAGTTTTACTATACTCCCGAGGACAATGCTTTGTGTCGACCTCTGTCCCTGTACTATAATGCTCTCCCATAGACTAGGCACACAAACCAGCTACAGAAGACCATTTTCAACAAATACCCAATGCCCAAGGACCGAAAGGATCTGTTCTCCCTGTGTGTCGGTCCTCGGGGGGTTATGTAGAACACGTACATACATTCGCGTTCACACCGGCGATCATGGACGTCCTATTGTCCCTCTATTGTTTGTACTTTTTAGGAAGACTCCCATATGTTTTGTACACGACCCCAATCGCGGACACATGCTGGGAACCGTGGACGATATTGTTTTCTTTTTGTTCTCTGGTATTTTTCACCCACGGTTTGAATAGATGAACACGCCCACACACACACAGCATACAGTAGTTGTGTGTAAGTCCTTTGTTTTCTTTATATCCTTTTTTTTTCAATTTAAACTCTGTTGTGTATTCCTTATGAAGCTCTGACTTGTGGTCTATTGTCCCTAGTTATTCTGTTTCTAGTAGCCCTCAAGGAACCATGTTAACTGGCTCAGGCATGAATATTGCCGAGTGCAGCGTTCTGATTGTATTCTGAACCTGAATAGTCATTGCACAAGCATCAGGCATATGGCAGCAGTGCGTTCAAGATTCTTGCCTGTCTCTTTGTAACCATTTGGGTTTCTCAAGCATGGAATCCACACGAAATGACAACACAGTGGGATGAAATAAACGAAATAAACTGAAGCAGAGAATGATCCAATCACATTATGTCGTTTGTAACTTTACGTGTTTTCAGTATGTGGGACCCACTTCTTGAAACACTGAGTATATATCGGTGAAGGGCAAAAGTTACCAGAACATGTTTATATATTAGTATTTTCACTGGTTACACAATCAGTGCCTGTAAATTCCACCATTCTTATTGTGAACAAGTGCCATAGCTATCTTTCGACACGCACTACCCTGTAAGGTTATGATGGATACAATCACTGGTAAAAACATAGATTGTTTGTGACAATGTACTCTGCCTGTTCTGAGGATGGCTAGAGTACACTCTCCGAAATGTCAAGAACACTTCTCACCTCCCGTTATTTTCAGAACTACACTGTCACGGAAAATATACGTCATAATATTCCTTCAAACCTATCCTTTGTGGTAAACAATGTTCTTGTGTTTTTGCTTTATTTCCACAGCTCTTCCATCTCTGACAGTACCGACAGTTAGCACCCAGACTCTCGGGACAGGCCAATCAACAGTCACAGTGGCTTGGGCCGAGGTAACCGCCACAAATTCTGACGCTCAGCCCATCACGTGCTCAGACTCTGGCGATGGTACCGGTCTGAGTGTGACCGGGGGTGACTTTGGTCTTGGATCCCACACAGTCACCTGCAACGTGACTAACTCGGATGGTTGCACGGCAGCAGAGAGCTTCACATTTGACGTTACAGGTACAGTTTATGCGCTTCTGAATTAGGAGTTCTTCTGCCCTAACTCAGCCTTGCCTCCAAGAGCCTTGGTGTGAGGATCATTTGAAATGGTCCATTTCCTCTTTTCCCACGAAAAAGAAATCGTGAAAACTGCATGTCATCTGGGTAGCTTCAAAAATGAAACTTTAATTACATTAGAAAAATGGACCCTTTGGAAGGAAATATGAAAGAGTTGGAATTCCAATTTACATCTAGTATCTCCGTACATTTAAGGCCCCTTGAAATGAGATATATCTTGATATGTTGGGCAGCATCATTATTTCTCAAATAAATTTGGTCACTTGGCCCATCAGATACTGGAAATTGTAGGATCTCCATTTTCTACTGTATATGCAGCGGGCATTCCTTGCACCAAGCGTGTCTGCATAGATCAACACATCAACCTTGTCTTTTATACAGATAGCATTTGTTGTCATCTTTGTAAATCAAGGTGGAAGCAACTGGCCAGTCATTAAGAACTAAATAATTAATGCCGGTCGAACATGCATGTAAGATGTTACAGTGTTGGGTGTGCTTTTCTTAACCAGAATCAACACCGACTACTGCTGAACCTTCAACAATTCAACCAACCACAGAGGGACCAACTACGCAAGCCAATCAACCAACCACAGAAGGACCAACTACGCAAGCCAATCAACCAACCACAGAAGGACCAACTACGCAAGCCAATAAACCAACCACAGAAGGACCGACTACGCAAGCCAATCAACCAACCACAGTAGGACCAACTACGCAAGCCAATCAACCAACCACAGACGGGCCAACTACGCAAGCCAATCAACCAACCACAGAAGGACCAACTACGCAAGCCAATCAACCAACCACAGAAGGACCAACTACACAAGCCAATCAACCAACCACAGAAGGACCAACTACGCAAGCCAATCAACCAACCACAGTAGGACCAACTATGCAAGCCAATCAGCCAACCACAGACGGGCTAACTACGCAAGCCAATCAACCAACCACAGAAGGACCAACTACGCAAGCCAATCAACCAACCACAGACGGGCCAACTACACAAGCAAATCAACCAACCACAGAAGGACCAACTACGCAAGCCAATCAACCAACCACAGATGGGCCAACTACGCAAGCCAATCAACCAACCACAGACGGGCCAACTACGCAAGCCAATCAACCAACCACAGAAGGACCAACTACACAAGCAAATCAGCCAACCACAGAAGGACCAACTACGCAAGCCAATCAACCAACCACAGAGGGGCCAACTACGCAAGCCAATCAACCAACCACAGACGGGCCAACTACGCAAGCCAATCAACCAAGCACAGACGGGCAAACTACGCAAGCCAATCAACCAACCACAGACGGGCAAACTACGCAAGCCAATCAACCAACCACAGAGGGACCAACTACGCAAGCAAATCAACCAACCACAGAGGGACCAACTACGCAAGCCAACCAACCAACCACAGACGGGCCAACTACGCAAGCCAACCAACCAACCACAGACGGGCCAACTACGCAAGCCAATCAACCAACCACAGACGGGCCAACTACGCAAGCCAATCAACCAACCACAGAGGGACCAACTACGCAAGCCAATCAACCAACAACAGAAGGACCAACTACGCAAGCCAATCAACCAACCACAGAGGGACCAACTACGCAAGCCAATCAACCAACAACAGACGGGCCAACTACGCAAGCCAATCAACCAACAACAGAAGGACCAACTACGCAAGGCAATCAACCAACCACAGACGGGCCAACTACGCAAGCCAATCAACCAACCACAGACGGGCCAACTACGCAAGCCAATCAACCAACCACAGAGGGACCAACTACCCAAGCCAATCAACCAACCACAGACGGGCCAACTACGCAAGCCAGTCAACCTACCACAGACGGGCCAACTACGCAAGCCAATCAACCTACCACAGACGGGCCAACTACGCAAGCCAATCAACCAACCACAGACGGGCCAACTACGCAAGCCAATCAACCTACCACAGACGGGCCAACTACGCAAGCCAATCAACCAACCACAGACGGGCCAACTACACAAGCCAATCAACCAACCACAGATGGGCCAACTACGCAAGCCAGTCAACCTACCACAGACGGGCCAACTACGCAAGCCAATCAACCTACCACAGACGGGCCAACTACGCAAGCCAATCAACCAACCACAGACGGGCCAACTACGCAAGCCAATCAACCAACCACAGACGGGCCAACTACGCAAGCCAATCAACCAACCACAGACGGGCCAACTACACAAGCCAATCAACCAACCACAGATGGGCCAACTACGCAAGCCAATCAACCTACCACAGAAGGACCAACTACGCAAGCCAATCAACCAACGACAGAAGGACCAACTACGCAAGCCAATCAACCAACCACAGAGGGGCCAACTACGCAAGCCAATCAACCAACCACAGTAGGACCAACTATGCAAGCCAATCAGCCAACCACAGACGGGCCAACTACGCAAGCCAATCAACCAACCACAGACGGGCCAACTACACAAGCCAATCAACCAACCACAGATGGGCCAACTACGCAAGCCAATCAACCAACCACAGAAGGACCAACTACGCAAGCCAATCAACCAACCACAGACGGGCCAACTACACAAGCAAATCAACCAACCACAGAAGGACCAACTACGCAAGCCAATCAACCAACCACAGACGGGCCAACTACGCAAGCCAATCAACCAACCACAGACGGGCCAACTACGCAAGCCAATCAACCAACCACAGACGGGCCAACTACGCAAGCCAATCAACCAACCACAGACGGGCCAACTACACAAGCCAATCAACCAACCACAGATGGGCCAACTACGCAAGCCAATCAACCTACCACAGAAGGACCAACTACGCAAGCCAATCAACCAACGACAGAAGGACCAACTACGCAAGCCAATCAACCAACCACAGAGGGGCCAACTACGCAAGCCAATCAACCAACCACAGTAGGACCAACTATGCAAGCCAATCAGCCAACCACAGACGGGCCAACTACGCAAGCCAATCAACCAACCACAGAAGGACCAACTACGCAAGCCAATCAACCAACCACAGACGGGCCAACTACGCAAGCCAATCAACCAACCACAGAAGGACCAACTACGCAAGCCAATCAACCAACCACAGACGGGCCAACTACACAAGCAAATCAACCAACCACAGAAGGACCAACTACGCAAGCCAATCAACCAACCACAGACGGGCCAACTACGCAAGCCAATCAACCAACCACAGAAGGACCAACTACGCAAGCCAATCAACCAACCACAGACGGGCCAACTACGCAAGCAAATCAACCAACCACAGATCTAGAGGGACCAACTACACAAGGACCAATGTCAGCCACAACAATGCAGTCATCAACACCAGGTAAACGATTATTTTGTGCATTTACCCGGTTCTCATCAACCACTTACTTGGTTGGCAATCATTGACAACCTGACCACAGAACACATCTTAGTTTTCCTGTGACTTTTCACTTTTTCATAATGGTTTGCATTCTAATTTTTCATTGAAGTAGCTTAATCCAGCATATTTCTTATATGTAGATGAAGATACTTGTGATCCCAATCCTTGTATGAATGGGGGTAGTAGCACAGATGGTTTCACGACTGATGTTTTTGCCTATTTTGAGAGTATATACACAATAGTACTTTGCAAAAGTTAGGGCAATTGCCTTTGAATTTTCTACAAACACCATGTGACATGATTTAATGCTTAGTGCTAACATCACTTTGAAATTGCCGTTGATTGGTTTTCAGGTCTGAGATCAGTCACCATTGTACTGAGTATTGTAGGAGTAAATAACACCGCTCTCAACTCCTCAGACTACACTGATCCTAACTCTGCAGCTTCTATGGAGTTGGCAGAACTGGTGGCCAGAGTGGTAAGTCACGTCAAAGTTTGGTTTTGGTAACACAAGTTAAAAGATAAAATGTCAAGTCGTTAATGCAAAATCCTCAACAGAATGCGGTTGACAGACTTGCTGGAGAGTCAAGTAAGACATCAACTTCATATTAACAAACTATTGATACCTAGTTTTTTTCTTTCCAGATTGCAAGTGTACTTGGAGAGAATGCGACAACAAGCGATGTGGAATCTGTCAGTGGTGCGATTTCATTTGGACCAGATGGTGTAGTTTTCACAGGAGATGTATTCGTCCCAGTGGATTCACCTGTAACTCCTGAAACCATCATGGAAGTCTTATCCAATCAAGCTGCTGCAGCACCCTTAACTGATGGACAGAGTACTCTGGATGTGGACCCTGCAGTTACTGCTATGGGTAAGTTACAGTCTTGCGTTGTAGGTTCACATTCCTACTGCTCTTATAGATCCATTGATTTGTTTTTGCAACATTTTGTACTTTTCTTATTCATAACGACTATCCTTCTAATTTCTTTCTGGTTCTTGGGTTCTTCTCAAAGCTGCACTGAAAAAAATAATATGTGTTGTCACTGACATCAAAGGTGTTTCTGTCCACATTTGAATCTTTAGATGAAGATAATTGTGATCCCAACCCTTGTATGAATGGAGGTAGTTGCGCGGATGGCATCAATAGCTACGTCTGCACTTGTGTAGAAGGATTTACAGGAAATGACTGTGAAACTGGTACGTTTACAAAACTGTTTTGCCGTGAAAGTTGTCAAAACATTTTGTGCCTTAAAAAAAAAAAACACTTCCAGATAGTAATTCAAAAGTCAAGCCCTTACACAACTGTTGCCTTGTGCTTGACCGGTTTGAGATAGTACTTACACAATAGCAGATTGTGAAATATTAGCAATAGCTCACTCAACAGTTCATCCCAAATTTCTACAGACATCACGTGACAAAGTTGAACGCTGATGCAAACAGGAGTTTCACGTTGCTGTTTTGATTGGATTTCAGGTCTGAGATCAGTCACCATTGTCCTGAATGTCAGAGGAGTAAATGGCACCGCCCTCATCTCCTCAGACTTCACCGATCCCAACTCTGCAGCTTCGATGGAGTTGGCGGAACTAGTGGCCAGAGTGGTAAGTCACATCAAAGATTGGTTTGGGAACACAGGTTAAAGCTATAGTCCATCATTTGCAGCCATCCGAAAAAGTAACTGGCATATTATTGTTGAAAAACATACTTGGTTGAAAGATAGTAAGTGGACTAAGCTCCCTGTGAAATTAATCTTTCTGGCAAGCTATCATTTTGAAGTAATCGACGAAAGAAGGCCTTTCCAACGGTGCATCTTAAGACGCACTGTAGGAAAATTTAAATTAATAGTTCGTTTTGTTATTCGGTGCAGCGCGTGCAAGCATTGGCACGACGAACAGGCGCGCGTGGTTGCTATAATTCGTCGGATCAGTGCGCGACATCGCGTATAGCTGCAATTCAAAACATGATTCAGCAACTTTTGATTTGAAATTGAGATCCTAGAATGCTGTTTTTCTCGGAATATACAGCTGAAGCTGAGCTGAAACTTAATCAGGTTAGTTGTTCAGTATCCTTCATTAGATTTTGAACACATTTGTTGCTTCAAACGAACAAAATGCACAAATTACAAGTGATGGACTATATCTTTAAAGATAAAATCATAAATACGTGAACCAGAATGTGGTTAGCAGACTTACTGGAGATTTTGGTAAGACACCAACTTCATATTAACAAAGCGTTGGTACCGAGTTTCTTTCTTTCTTTTTTTTGCAGATTGCAAGTGTACTTGGAGAGAATGCGACAACAAGCGATGTTGAATCTGTCAGCGGTGCAATTTCCATTGGACCAGATGGTGTAGTTTTCACAGGTGATGTATTCGTCCCAGTGGATTCGCCTGTAACTGCTGACACCATCATGGAAGTCTTATCCAATCAAGCTGCTCCAGGACCTCTAACTGATGGACAGAGTACTCTGGATGTGGACCCTGCAGTTACTGCTATGGGTAAGTTACAGTCTTGCGTTGTAGGTTCACATTCGTGCTACTCTTGGATCTGTTGATTTGTCTTTGCAACATTTTGTACTTTTCTTATTCATAACGACAATCCTTCTAATTTAATCTGTTCGTGGGTTCTTCTCAAAGCTACACTGAGAAAATTAATTGGTTTTGTCTCTAACATCAAAGGTGTTTCTGTCCACATTTGAATCTTTAGATGAAGATAATTGTGATCCCAATCCTTGTATGAATGGAGGTAGTTGCACGGATGGTGTCAATAGCTACGTCTGCACTTGTGCAGAGGGATTCACAGGAAGCGACTGTGAAATAGGTAAATATATCCTTTTCCAAGTTATTTAGTACGTGGTGTGTCCAGCCAGAAATTTCACTAAGTAGAGAGACACAGTTTTGAAAGAGGCAAAATGATGGCTATTAAAGCATTTTTCAGAAAGTGTAAATACACAACAATTGTGCACATTTGTTGAGGCATTCCTCTGTGTTCAATCTTCAGAAGCACCAGGACTTAACAGTTGGTAGCCTTTGCAGGACCTTCAAAAAACTTCGCTGCTCATGCACCCGTTCTTTTTTCATGCCTGTTTTGATTGGTTTTCAGGGCTGAGATCAGTAACCATTGTACTGAATGTCAGAGGAGTAAATGGCACTGCCCTGGTCTCATCAGACTTCGCCGATCCCAACTCTGCAGCTTCGATGGAGTTGGCGGAACTGGTGGCCAGAGTGGTAAGTCATTTCATCATTTGCTTTTCCGGAACGCGTAGATTATAGATGAAATGCCAAGACTTACATGCTAGTACCACATTACTAGCTTTATCCTCACTGATGAGGATAGACATCGACTTCAAATTGATGTGTTGACGCAAGTTTCTTGTTTTCCAGATTGCAAGTGTACTTGGAGAGAATGCCACAACTAGCGACGTTGAATCTGTTATTGGTGGGATATCTGTTGGACCAGATGGTGTAGTTTTCACAGGTGATGTATTCGTCCCAGTGGATTCGCCTGTAACTGCTGAAACCATCATGGAAGTCTTATCCAATCAAGCTGTTGCAGCACCCTTAACTGATGGACAGAGTACTCTGGATGTGGACCCTGCAGTTACTGCTATGGGTAAGTAACAGCCCATTGCCTTGTAGGTTCCGTTCTTGCTGCTCTTGGATCTGTTGATTTGTGATTGCATTATTTGTACTTTTCTTATTCATAACGACTATCCTTCTAATTTAATCTGTTCATGGGTTCATCTCAAAGCTACACTGAAAAAAGTTCATTGGTTTTGTCTCTAACATCAAAGGTGTTTCTGTCCACATTTGAATCTTTAGATGAAGATAATTGTGATCCCAACCCTTGCATGAATGGAGGTAGTTGCGTGGATGGTGTCAATAGCTACGTCTGTACTTGTGTAGAGGGATTCACAGGAAGCGACTGTGAAATAGGTAAATATATTCTTTTCCAAGTTATTGGGTACGTGGTGTGTCCAGCGAGAAATTTCACTTAGTAGAGAGACACAGTTTTGAAAGACGCAAAATGATGGCTATTAAAGCATTTTTCAGAAAGTGTAAATACAGAACAATTGTGCACATTTGTCGAGTCATTCCTCTGTGATCAATCTTCAGAAGCACCAGGACTTAACAGTTGCTATCCAATGCAGGAACTTTTCAAACTTCGCTGCTCGTGCAACCGTTCCTTTTTCATGCCTGTTTTGATTGGTTTTCAGGTTTGAGATCAGTCACCATTGTCCTGAATGTCAGAGGAGTAAATGGCACCGCCCTCATCTCCTCAGACTTCACGGATCCCAACTCTGCAGCTTCGATGGAGTTGGCAGAACTGGTGGCCAGAGTGGTAAGTCATTTCACCTTTTGCTCTTCTGGAATGCGTAGATTACAGATGAAATGCCAAGACTTAAATGCTAGTACCTCATGCTAGCGTTATCCGCACTGATGAGGATAGACATCTACTTCAAATTGATCTGTTGACACAAGTTTCTTCTTTTGCAGATTGCAAGTGTACTTGGAGAGAATGCCACAACTAGCGACGTTGAATCTGTTATTGGTGGGATATCCGTTGGACCAGATGGTGTAGTTTTCACAGGTGATGTATTCGTCCCAGTGGATTCGCCTGTAACTGCGGAAACCATCATGGAAGTCTTATCCAATCAAGCTGCTGCAGCACCCTTAACTGATGGACAGAGTACTCTGAATGTGGACCCTGCAGTTACTGCTAGGGGTAAGTTACAGTCTTGCGTTGTAGGTTCACATTCGTGCTACTCTTAGATCTGTTAATTTGTGTTTGCAACATTTTGTACTTTTCTTATTCATAACGACTATCCTTCTCATTTCTTTCTGTTCGTGGGTTCTTCTCAAAGCTACACTGAAAAAAGATCATTGGTTTTGTCTCTAACATCAAAGGTGTTTCTGTCCACATTTGAATCTTTAGATGAAGATAATTGTGATCCCAACCCTTGTATGAATGGAGGTAGTTGCACGGATGGTGTCAATAGCTACGTCTGTACTTGTGTAGAAGGATTCACTGGAAACGACTGTGAAATAGGTAAATATATTCTTTTCCAAGTTATTTGGTACGTGGTGTGTCCAGCGAGAAATTTCACTTTAATAGTAGAGAGACACAGTTTTGAAAGACGCAAAATGATGGCTATTAAAGCATTTTTCAGAAAGTGTAAATACACAACAATTGTGCACATTTGTTGAGGCATTCCTCTGTGTTCAATCTTCAGAAGCACCAGGACTTAACAGTTGGTATCCTTTGCAGGACCTTCAAAAAACTTTGCTGCTCGTGCACCCGTTCCTTTTTCATGCCTGTTTTGATTGGTTTTCAGGTCTGAGATCAGTCACCATTGTCCTGAATGTCAGAGGAGTAAATGGCACCGCCCTGGTCTCCTCAGACTTCACCGATCCCAACTCTGCAGCTTCGATGGAGTTGGCAGAACTGGTGGCCAGAGTGGTAAGTCATTTCACCTTTTGCTTTTTGGGAACACGTTGATTAAAGATGAAATGCCAAGACTTAAATGCTAGTACCTCATGCTAGCTTTATCCTCACTGAGAGACATCTACTTCAAATTGATGGGTTGACACAAGTTTCTTCTTTTCCAGATTGCAAGTGTACTTGGAGAGAATGCCACGACTAGCGACGTTGAATCTGTTATTGGTGGGATATCTGTTGGACCAGATGTTGTAGTTTTCACAGGTGATGTATTCGTCCCAGTGGATTCGCCTGTAACTGCTGAAACCATCATGGAAGTCTTATCCAATCAAGCTGCTGCAGCACCCTTAACTGATGGACAGAGTACGCTGGATGTGGACCCTGCAGTTACTGCTATGGGTAAGTTACAGTCTTGGGTTGTAGGTTCACATTCGTGCTACTCTTGGATCTGTTGATTTGTATTTGCAACATTTTGTTCTTTTCTTATTCATAAAGGCTTTCATTCAAATTTCTGGTTCTTGGGTTCTTCGCAAGGCTACATTGTTATTGGTGTTTTCTCTGACATCAAAAGGTGTTTCTGTCCACATTTGAATCTTTAGATGAAGATAATTGTGATCCCAACCCTTGTATGAATGGAGGTAGTTGCACGGATGGTGTCAACAGCTACGTCTGTACTTGTGTAGAGGGATTCACTGGAAACGACTGTGAAATAGGTAAATATATTCTTTTCCAAGTTATTTGGTACGTGGTGTGTCCAGCAAGAAATTTCACTTAGTAGAGAAACACAGTTTTGAAAGATGCAAAATGATGGCTATTAAAGCATTTTTCAGAAAGCGTAAATACACAACAATTGTGGACATTTGTTGAGGCATTCCTCTGTGTTCAATCTTCAGAAGCACCAGGACTTAACAGTTGGTATCCTTTGCAGGACCTCAAACTTCGCTGCTCGTGCAACCGTTCCTTCTTCATGCCTGTTTTGATTGGTTTTCAGGTCTGAGATCAGTAACCATTGTCCTGAATGTCAGAGGAGTAAATGGCACCGCCCTGGTCTCCTCGGACTTCACCGATCCCAACTCTGCAGCTTCGATGGAGTTGGCGGAACTGGTGGCCAGAGTGGTAAGTCATTTCACCTTTTACTTTTCCAGAACACGTAGATTACAGATGAAATGTCAAGACTTAAATGCTAGTACCTCATGCTAGCGTCATCCTCACTGATGAGGATAGACATCTTCTTCAAATTGATGTGTCGACTCAAGTTTCTTCTTTTGCAGATTGCAAGTGTACTTGGAGAGAATGCCACAACTAGCGATGTTGAATCTGTTATTGGTGGGATATTTATTGGACCAGATGGTGTAGTTTTCACAGGTGATGTATTCGTCCCAGTGGATTCGCCTGTAACTGCTGAAACCATCATGGAAGTCTTATCCAATCAAGCTGCTGCAGCACCCTTAACTGATGGACAGAGTACTCTGGATGTGGACCCTGCAGTTACTGCTATGGGTAAGTTACAGTCTTGCGTTGTAGGTTCACATTCGTGCTGCTCTTAAATCTGTTAATTTGTGTTTGCATTGTTTGTTCTTTTCTTATTCATAATGACTTTCCTTCTTATTTCTTTCTGTTCGTGGGTTCTCTTCAAAGCTACACTATAAAAGTTAATTGGTTTTGTCTCTAACATCAAAGGTGTTTCTCTCCACATTTGAATCTTTAGATGAAGATAATTGTGATCCCAACCCTTGTATGAATGGAGGTAGTTGCACGGATGGTGTCAACAGCTACGTCTGCACTTGTGCAGAGGGATTCACTGGAAACGACTGTGAAATAGGTAAATATATTCTTTTCCAAGTTATTTAGTACGTCGTGTGTCCAGCGAGAAATTTCACTCAGTAGAGAGACACAGTTTTGAAAGACGCAAAATGATGGCTATTAAAGCATTTTTCAGAAAGTGTAAATACACAACAATTGTGGACATTTGCTGAGGTATTCCTCTGTGTTCAATCTTCAGAAGCACCAGGACTTAACAGTTGGTAGCCTTTGCGGGACCTTCAAAAAACTTCGCTGCTCGTGCAACCGTTCCTTTTTCATGCCTGTTTTGATTGGTTTTCAGGTCTGAGATCAGTAACCATTGTCCTGAATGTCAGAGAAGTAAATGGCACTGTCCTCATCTCATCAGACTTCACCGATCCCAACTCTGCAGCTTCGATGGAGTTGGCAGAACTGGTGGCCAGAGTGGTAAGTCATTTCAGCATTTGCTTTTCTGGAACGCGTAGATTACAGATGAAATGTCAAGACTTAAATGCTAGTACCTCATGCTAGCGTTATCCGCACTGATGAGGATAGACATCGACTTCAAATTGATGTGTTGACGCAAGTTTCTTCTTTTCCAGATTGCAAGTGTACTTGGAGAGAATGCCACAACTAGCGACGTTGAATCTGTTATTGGTGGGATATCTGTTGGACCTGATGGTGTAGTTTTCACAGGTGATGTATTTGTTCCAGTGGATTCGCCTGTAACTGCTGAAACCATCATGGAAGTCTTATCCAATCAAGCTGCTGCAGCACCCTTAACTGATGGACAGAGTACTCTGAATGTGGACCCTGCAGTTACCGCTATGGGTAAGTTACAGTCTTGCGTTGTAGGTTCACATTCGTGCTACTCTCGGATCTGTTGATTTGTGCTTGCATTATTTGTACTTTTCTTATTCATAACGACTATCCTTCTAATTTTTTTCTGTTCGTGGGTTCTTCTCAAAGCTACAGTGAAAAAAGTTCATTGGTTTTGTCTCTAACATCAAAGGTGTTTCTGTCCACATTTAAATCTTTAGATGAAGATAATTGTGATCCCAACCCTTGCATGAATGGAGGTAGTTGCACGGATGGTGTCAACAGCTACGTCTGCACTTGTGTAGAGGGATTCACTGGAAACGACTGTGAAATAGGTAAATATATTCTTTTCCAAGTTATTGGGTACGTGGTGTGTCCAGCGAGAAATTTCACTTAGTAGAGAGACACAGTTTTGAAAGACGCAAAATGATGGCTATTAAAGCATTTTTCAGAAAGTGTAAATACAGAACAATTGTGCACATTTGTTGAGGCATTCCTCTGTGTTCAATCTTCAGAAGCACCAGTAATTAACAGTTGTTATCCTTCGCAGGACTTTTTCCAACTTTGCTGCTCGTGCAACCGTTCCTTTTTCATGCCTGTTTTGATTGGTTTTCAGGTCTGAGATCAGTAACCATTGTCCTGAATGTCAGAGGAGTAAATGGCACTGCCCTGGTCTTCTCAGACTTCACCGATCCCAACTCTGCAGCTTCGATGGAGTTGGCGGAACTGGTGGCCAGAGTGGTAAGTCATTTCACCTTTTGCTTTTCTGGAACGCGTAGATTACAGATGAAATGCCAAGACTTACACGCTAGTACCTCGTGCTAGCGTCATCCTCGCTGATGAGGATAGACATCGACTTCAAATTGATGTGTTGACACAGGTTTCTTGTTTTCCAGATTGCAAGCGTGCTTGGAGAGAATGCCACGACAAGTGATGTTGAATCGGTCAGTGGTGCGATTTCCATTGGACCAGATGGTGTAGTTTTCACAGGTGATGTATTCGTCCCAGTGGATTCGCCTGTAACTGCCGAAACCATCATGGAAGTCTTATCCAATCAAGCTGCTGCAGGACCCTTAACTGATGGACAGAGTACTCTGGATGTGGACCCTGCAGTTACTGCTATGGGTAAGTTGCAGTCTTGCGTTGCAGGTTCACATTCGTGCTACTCTTGGATCTATTGATTTGTGTTTGCAACATTTTGTTCTTTTCTTTTTCATAAAGGCTTTCATTCAAATTTCTGGTTCCTTGGTTCTTCTCAAGGCTACATTGTTATTGGTGTTTTCTCTGACATCAAAGGTGTTTCTGTCCACATTTGAATCTTTAGATGAAGATAATTGTGATCCCAACCCTTGTATGAATGGAGGTAGTTGCGCGGATGGTGTCAATAGCTACGTCTGTACTTGTGTAGAAGGATTCACAGGAAGCGACTGTGAAATAGGTAAATATATTCTTTTCCAAGTTATTTGGTACGTGGTGTGTCCAGCGAGAAATTTCACTTAGTAGAGAGACACAGTTTTGAAAGACGCAAAATGATGGCTATTAAAGCATTTTTCAGAAAGTGTAAATACATAACAATTGTGCACATTTGTTGTGGCATTCCTCTGTGTTCAATCTTCAGAAGCACCAGGACTTAACAGTTGGTATCCTTTGCAGGACCTTCAAAAAACTTCGCTGCTCGTGCAACCGTTCCTTTTTCATGCCTGTTTTGATTGGTTTTCAGGTCTGAGATCAGTAACCATTGTCCTGAATGTCAGAGGAGTAAATGGCACCGCCCTTATCTCCTCAGACTTCACCGATCCCAACTCTGCAGCTTCGATGGAGTTGGCGGAACTGGTGGCCAGAGTGGTAAGTCATTTCACTTTTTGCTTTTCCGGAACGCGTAGATTAAAGAATGAAATATCAAGACTTAAATGCTAGTACCACATTACTAGCTTTATCCTCACTGATGAGGATAGACATCGACTTCAAATTGATGTGTTGACACAAGTTTCTTCTTTTCCAGATTGCAAGTGTACTTGGAGAGAATGCCACAACTAGCGACGTTGAATCTGTTATTGGTGGGATATCTGTTGGACCAGATGGTGTAGTTTTCACAGGTGATGTATTTGTTCCAGTGGATTCGCCTGTAACTGCTGAAACCATCATGGAAGTCTTATCCAATCAAGCTGCTGCAGCACCCTTAACTGATGGACAGAGTACTCTGAATGTGGACCCTGCAGTTACCGCTATGGGTAAGTTACAGTCTTGCGTTGTAGGTTCACATTCGTGCTACTCTCGGATCTGTTGATTTGTGCTTGCATTATTTGTACTTTTCTTATTCATAACGACTATCCTTCTAATTTTTTTCTGTTCGTGGGTTCTTCTCAAAGCTACAGTGAAAAAAGTTCATTGGTTTTGTCTCTAACATCAAAGGTGTTTCTGTCCACATTTAAATCTTTAGATGAAGATAATTGTGATCCCAACCCTTGCATGAATGGAGGTAGTTGCACGGATGGTGTCAACAGCTACGTCTGCACTTGTGTAGAGGGATTCACTGGAAACGACTGTGAAATAGGTAAATATATTCTTTTCCAAGTTATTGGGTACGTGGTGTGTCCAGCGAGAAATTTCACTTAGTAGAGAGACACAGTTTTGAAAGACGCAAAATGATGGCTATTAAAGCATTTTTCAGAAAGTGTAAATACAGAACAATTGTGCACATTTGTTGAGGCATTCCTCTGTGTTCAATCTTCAGAAGCACCAGTAATTAACAGTTGTTATCCTTCGCAGGACTTTTTCCAACTTTGCTGCTCGTGCAACCGTTCCTTTTTCATGCCTGTTTTGATTGGTTTTCAGGTCTGAGATCAGTAACCATTGTCCTGAATGTCAGAGGAGTAAATGGCACTGCCCTGGTCTTCTCAGACTTCACCGATCCCAACTCTGCAGCTTCGATGGAGTTGGCGGAACTGGTGGCCAGAGTGGTAAGTCATTTCACCTTTTGCTTTTCTGGAACGCGTAGATTACAGATGAAATGCCAAGACTTACACGCTAGTACCTCGTGCTAGCGTCATCCTCGCTGATGAGGATAGACATCGACTTCAAATTGATGTGTTGACACAGGTTTCTTGTTTTCCAGATTGCAAGCGTGCTTGGAGAGAATGCCACGACAAGTGATGTTGAATCGGTCAGTGGTGCGATTTCCATTGGACCAGATGGTGTAGTTTTCACAGGTGATGTATTCGTCCCAGTGGATTCGCCTGTAACTGCCGAAACCATCATGGAAGTCTTATCCAATCAAGCTGCTGCAGGACCCTTAACTGATGGACAGAGTACTCTGGATGTGGACCCTGCAGTTACTGCTATGGGTAAGTTGCAGTCTTGCGTTGCAGGTTCACATTCGTGCTACTCTTGGATCTATTGATTTGTGTTTGCAACATTTTGTTCTTTTCTTTTTCATAAAGGCTTTCATTCAAATTTCTGGTTCCTTGGTTCTTCTCAAGGCTACATTGTTATTGGTGTTTTCTCTGACATCAAAGGTGTTTCTGTCCACATTTGAATCTTTAGATGAAGATAATTGTGATCCCAACCCTTGTATGAATGGAGGTAGTTGCGCGGATGGTGTCAATAGCTACGTCTGTACTTGTGTAGAAGGATTCACAGGAAGCGACTGTGAAATAGGTAAATATATTCTTTTCCAAGTTATTTGGTACGTGGTGTGTCCAGCGAGAAATTTCACTTAGTAGAGAGACACAGTTTTGAAAGACGCAAAATGATGGCTATTAAAGCATTTTTCAGAAAGTGTAAATACATAACAATTGTGCACATTTGTTGTGGCATTCCTCTGTGTTCAATCTTCAGAAGCACCAGGACTTAACAGTTGGTATCCTTTGCAGGACCTTCAAAAAACTTCGCTGCTCGTGCAACCGTTCCTTTTTCATGCCTGTTTTGATTGGTTTTCAGGTCTGAGATCAGTAACCATTGTCCTGAATGTCAGAGGAGTAAATGGCACCGCCCTTATCTCCTCAGACTTCACCGATCCCAACTCTGCAGCTTCGATGGAGTTGGCGGAACTGGTGGCCAGAGTGGTAAGTCATTTCACTTTTTGCTTTTCCGGAACGCGTAGATTAAAGAATGAAATATCAAGACTTAAATGCTAGTACCACATTACTAGCTTTATCCTCACTGATGAGGATAGACATCGACTTCAAATTGATGTGTTGACACAAGTTTCTTCTTTTCCAGATTGCAAGTGTACTTGGAGAGAATGCCACAACTAGCGACGTTGAATCTGTTATTGGTGGGATATCTGTTGGACCAGATGGTGTAGTTTTCACAGGTGATGTATTCGTCCCAGTGGATTCGCCTGTAACTGCTGAAACCATCATGGAAGTCTTATCCAATCAAGCTGCTGCAGCACCCTTAACTGATGGACAGAGTACTCTGGATGTGGACCCTGCAGTTACTGCTATGGGTAAGTTACAGTCTTGCGTTGTAGGTTCACATTCGTGCTGCTCTTGGATCTGTTGATTTGTGTTTGCGTTATTTGTACTTTTCTTATTCATAACGACTATCCTTCTAATTTCTTTCTGTTCGTGGTTTCTTCTCAATGCTACACTGAGAAAGTTAATTGGTTTTGTCTCTAACATCAAAGGTGTTTCTGTCCACATTTGAATCTTTAGATGAAGATAATTGTGATCCCAACCCTTGTATGAATGGAGGTAGTTGCACGGATGGTGTCAATAGCTACGTCTGTACTTGTGCAGAGGGATTCACAGGAAGCGACTGCGAAATAGGTAAATATATCCTTTTCCAAGTTATTTAGTACGTGGTGTGTCCAGCCAGAAATTTCACTAAGTAGAGAGACACAGTTTTGAAAGATGCAAAATGATGGCTATTAAAGCATTTTTGCAGAAAGTGTAAATACAGAACAATTGTGCACATTTGTTGAGGCATTCCTCTGTGTTTAATCTTCAGAAGTACCAAGACTTAACAGTTGGTATCCTTTGCAGGACCTTCAAAAAACTTCGCTGCTCGTGCACCCGTTCCTTTTTCATGCCTGTTTTGATTGGTTTTCAGGTCTCAGATCAGTCACCATTGTCCTGAATGTCAGAGGAGTAAATGGCACTGCCCTGGTCTCCTCAGACTTCACCGATCCCAACTCTGCAGCTTCGATGGAGTTGGCAGAACTGGTGGCCAGAGTGGTAAGTCATTTCACCTTTTACTTTTCCGGAACGCGTAGATTACAGATGAAATGCCAAGACTTACATGCTAGTACCTCATGCTAGCATTATCCACACTGATGAGGATAGACATCTACTTCAAATTGATGTGTTGACACAAGTTTCTTCTTTTCCAGATTGCAAGTGTACTTGGAGAGAACGCAACAACCAGTGACGTTGAATCTGTTATTGGTGGGATATCTGTTGGACCAGATGGTGTAGTTTTCACAGGTGACGTATTAGTCCCAGTGGATTCGCCTGTAACTGCTGAAACCATCATGGAAGTCTTATCCAATCAAGCTGCTGCAGCACCCTTAACTGATGGACAGAGTATTCTTGATGTGGACCCTGCAGTAACTGCAAGGGGTAAGTTGCCTCACCTAGCTCATAGTTTTTTCATCAGTATCCACTTTCAGTTGTGGCTGTCCTATGAATTTCTTGATCTGAGCTGAGTTACAATCAAAATTTGCACATCTGACGTCATTGAGAATAACTGATTTTTCTATTTCAATCGGATTGATTGTTTACATGTAGATAACTGTGATCCCAACCCTTGTATGAATGGAGGATCTTGTGAGGATGGCACCAATAGCTACGTCTGCACTTGTGTAGAGGGATTCACCGGAAACGACTGTGAAATAGGTCAGTATAAAATAGTATTTTTGCCGATTTTGACTTCCTGCCAAAAACAGAAGCCACTGCGTCCTGTGTCTAGGAGGCAGAGCCACATAACAGTTTGTTGAAGTCCATTCTCATAAACATTGACATTAATTAAACTTCATCAAGTTCAGACGTTATTAGTCCCACTAACTGGGGCGCTAGAACTCCTTTTTTTTTGACATTTGGGATGTTGGTCTGTCGTACTAGCGTCCCACTAAAGAAGTATTCTCAATGTGAGCACAGGTAGACCAGCTGTAGATTAAGCTGAGCTATTACGCCAAGCTGTGAATCACGCCAACCGTGCCTTGGGAACTGGAATTGCGTTCTAAATTCAAGACTTGAAATACATAAAACCACACACTCCTCTTCCTAATGGCAATAAAAATGGACGAACAGGTTGAATGTTTTGATCATTGTCTGTGTTGGATTCAAAGCTAAATTGTCTGATTATCCGCCTGTGACCATGTTTAATTTGTAGATATTGATGATTGTGATCCCGACCCTTGCATGAATGGGGGAGCCTGTCAGAACGGCGTGAACAGCTACACCTGTACTTGTGTAGAAGGTTTCACAGGAAGCGACTGTGAGACAGGTCAGTTGGTAGTATTTCTTGTGACTGCTGTTGTTTTGTTTTAACTGAGCGAATCAAAGAGGAATTCTTACCTTTCATGTTGACAGTGCTATGCAGGTACTGCTTAGTGGACCATCAGATGGTTGGTTGCCGTGCACTTAAATATCGATCATCCATGCATTACTCCATTACTCATTTGATGTTGATCCTGTGTGAAACTATCGGTACCCTTCTGTAAAAAAAATAACAATTGCTGGTTTCAAGGATTTAACCGATTTTGTCAACTTTTAAATTGGACATCCAACAAAAACATCTGATGAAAAAAAACTATACCTACAGTACCTTTAACCCTCGGTGTGGCCACGTGGTGATAAAATTCTCCACATTTTCCAAATATGGTCATAACTTTTTTTTCAATGGGCCAATAAGGCCAAGATTGATCCATGTAATCCTCACCCCTAATATACACCACAAGCCTGTAGACTCTCATTGGCCAGACCCTAACCACTGCAGAGTAAGGAGTGTTGAAAGACAGCAGCCCCAAGCGGCGCCTAATGCCTTTGTGCAGTAATTGGAGATCTTAAGTGGCCAACCCCTTTGTGCCGCCGATCTCTCTGTGTCAACCCCTCGATCTCTCTGTGTCAACCCCTCGTGCCGCCCAGAGCTCAGACAGGTCGTAAACAATCCAGGCCCACACAAAGGCCATGTGACCTGCCTATATCTTGTGCATGAGGGGGTTATTGACCTAGAAACAGTGTGGTGATAAAATTCTCCATGTGGTTTCACGGTGTGATTTGTTTGGTCACTCGACTCCGAGGGTTAATTGCCAAGCCAACTGCTACTTTCTTACACGCACTTGTAAAGCACTGAGCACACAGTGCTTCTAACAATTTATTGGGGAAACGCACAACACGCTGACAGGATTTTCTTTCTACCTCACAGACATCGACGATTGTAATCCAAACCCTTGCTTGAGCGGGGAAACCTGTGAAGACGGTATCAATCGTTTCACCTGCACCTGCATTCAAAGAAATTGTCAGACAGGTGAGAATTAGCAATTGTGATTTCAGCCTGCCAGGCTTTTGCTCGGCCCAGAAGGGACCTAGCCTGTCTTATCACCCATTATCCACAGAGCCCAGGTCCCCTGTATAACGTTGCAATTAAAACGAAGTGGAAAACAGTGAAGTTTCATTGTGCTTTTTTTTCTTCTAAATTATCTTGACAGATCCTTGTGTATTGAATCCTGGCCGCTGTGCAGCGACACCTGGCCAGTACTGCCTGCCAGTCCCCTTCAGTGAACTCCCTGCTAGACACAGGTGTGCCTGTCGGGAACTCGACGGATATTTCTGGGACAGTTCTGCAAACCGCTGCAGCCAAAACGGTCAGTGACAGTTGCATTATTACAGCTCATGTATATTTACAAGTGGCCCGCGCATTCTATTGGTCAACATCCCAGAAGTTCTATGGATTTATGGACTAGATCTCTGGATTGATCATAATAATAACAGGCATTTATATAACTTGTATAAACTGGGTATCATTATTATTATTTATTATAAATTAATCATTTTCTGGTAATTAAACCAAGGATTCCTCAAAAGCGCCCTAGGCACTGTAGCTCGCAAGCCTGAAGAAACCTGTGGAGAGAAGACAATGAGAAGAAGTTACAGTTTTAGAGGTGGGAGGAAAACCCTAGAAGAATATTCTGGGAAAAACCCACGGAATCAGGCAGGGGCTGAAAACCCAATCCACATATTGGCCCAGGCGGGATTCGAACCTGGGTCACAGCGGTGGAAGGCGAGGAAAGTACCGCTACGCCAACCTGACTCCCCTATCAAAGCGCTTTACAATTATTATTACCCCTGTTCAAGGGGTTAACACCCCTGAAACCTTCTCAACTCCCTGGGGAGGATACACGGCCGGAAGGCAACCATTTTGGCGCTCTTGGCCGTAATCAACCTCTCACAGTAACCAACTCTGCCCTCACAGGGGCTATACACCTGGGTGGAGAGAAGCAATGAATGACAAAGCGCCTTGCTCAAGGGAACACTCACCATAGCCCCGGGCAGCGCTCGAACCCACAACCTGCAGAAGACTGGTTGTGTCATTCTGATTAACAATTTCATAATAATTTTTTTTTTCTAGGATTCCGAGCAGTAATGATAGAAATGAATGTTGAAGGGATCAACGGGACTGCATTAGGTTTAGACGACATCAATACACCTGGGTTGTTGGCAGTGGTGGCTAAAGTGGTTAGTTAATTGCGTATTAAAGGGAATATACGTATTAAAGGGAATATACAACATTTGCAATTTGCAAGTTTATCGAAAAATAAAACTACCAAGTGTTTACGAAGTACTTTACTAGGATGTTGGTAAATGACAGTATAAAGCATCCTGTAAAATTATGGCACCTGGTGCGAAGTCATTTTCAAGAAAATAGTATTTTTGTATACAATTTCAACGGTGGTCGGCTGACCACCGTTGGAAAAACCCAACTATTTTTCAACAACTGATCCAAATTTACCATTTGTTCAGTCCAAATTTTGTTTGCTATTGGTAACATGTTCATGAACGGGTGCAGGCAGGCTAGACTGGTTCCCTCACCTTACAATTTTCCGGCATCTATAAATATTGATCTATTTCATCTTTAGGGGAGCCAGGGAACCAGACTGCTTGAACATTTTTGTTTTTCTTGGTTTTTCCAGCATTTTCGAACACAAAACTTCAAACATGTTAGTGTAACAATATTTGATCTATTATACTAAGCCCTCAAATAGTTCATTTCTGAAAATTACAGCAAAAGCCAATGATGTACATTCCCTTTAAGCCCTTCTACACCTTCCCGATTTTACCAGTTTCCCAGATCACCCCATCGATGGTAGGTTTTTTTCACCCTTGCGGTTAAAGTTACCGCACACATGCCCGATTCCTCCTAAAATCTGTCACATGATGACCAGTCACATGATGACAACCATGTGACTTTCTTTGTGAGTCTGATTGGAAAATGTTGCGTCCAGTGAAATCGGATCCAGGGAAATCAGATGCGAAAAAAACTCAAGCATGTTTGGTTTTATCCGGCCGCCCTGTATACGGTCGGATGCAGGTATCCAAAAAGTAGCTGACAAAATTATTGTCGAACATCATATTCGGTTTAAAGATAGTAATAGGACTAATAAACTCCCTGTGAAATTAGTCTTTCGGGCAAGCTGTCATTTTGAAGAAAACAATGAAGAAGGCCATTCCAACGATGCGTCTGAAGAGGCATCGTTGGAAATTTCCATTAGTAGTTAGTTTTTAATTCTACGAAGCGCATGGCTATAATTCGTCAGTTCAGTGCGCAACATTGCGTAGCTGCAATTGGCTGAATGAAAACGCTGAATTCGGGCGGAATTCAAAACATGACCTAGTAACTTTTGATTTGAAATCGAGATCCTAGAATATTGTTTTCCTCGGAATAAACTGCATTCTCTGAGCTAAAACTGCATCAAGTTAGTTTTAAGCTCCCTTCTTTAGATTTCGAGTACTTTTGTTGCACTTCAAACGAACACAATGCACAAATTACAAATGAAGGACTGTACCTTTAGCAATCCTTGAACACTTTTCAGTAGGATACTTTTACCCCATGGTATTTTGTTGGTATATAAATCTGGTCCTGTACTTCTTGTTTTGTTTTTTTAAAGATTCAATCTGAGCTGGGACTTATGCCAGCAACAAGCGACATAAACCAAGTCCATCCAGTCCAGTTGGTTGTAAGAGACGGCAGAGTGATGTTCATGGGCGTCGTCCAGGTCCCAGCAGAGTCGACCATCACCGCACGAGTCATCGAGTCGATGTTGTCGACACTGGCATCATCGAGAGCACTAACAGATGGACAGACCACACTGAATGTGGACCCTCAAGTTACTGCTATGGGTGAGTCGGGGTTGTGTTGGCTCAATGAAATCAATGTTCCAGAGGCTTTTTTTTGCACCAGTGTAAAATAACGGTTGTTTACTGAGGTAACATTTAAAGTCTTTCAGGTATTGATATATTATTATTTCTGGTAATGAAACCAAGGATTCCTCAAAAGCGCCCTTGGCACTGTAGCTCGTAAGCCTGAAGAAACCTGTAGAGAGAAGACAATGAGAAGAAGTTACAGTTTTAGAGGCGGGAGGAAAAGCCCAGAAGAATATTCTGGGGAAAACCCACGGAATCAGGCAGGGACTGAAAACCTAATCCACATATTGGCCCAGGCGGGATTCAAACCCGGGTCACAGCGGTGGAAGGCGAGGACAGTACCACTACGCCAACCTGACTCCCCACATATATCATCCTTATCTAAGTACATGCTAAGTTTCTACCCAATAAGACTTGTACTTCGGTAGATACGACTTAAAAATGCACATCAAGACGTCAAAGTGCTATGATCTGCATGGCTTTTTTTTCAACGAACAAGCCATTTTTAAGGTGGAACAACATTCGTGTGCGTGTCCCAAGCGTTCTTAAAGACAAGACATGCGCGCCTTTTGGTAATGCTTAGGTCGAAGGGGGTTCAGAGTGTGCTCGTACTACTGGAGTGCGACTCGGGCGAGACTGGCACCATGTTACTCAGAAAATGACTGCTGCCGAATTAGTGTATACAACTCCGAAAAGACAGGCTAGCACTTGAGACGCAGTGTTGTTTCATTTTCTTCCTCTACTCTCTTGTGTACCGCAGTCTCCACAACTGCTTGCCCGCCCAACTTCTGTCAGAACGGAGGGACGTGTGATGTCTCTGGCAATTATCCAGCCTTGGATTATACATGCAGGTAAGAAGTCTAGCAATAGAGTACCGAAGTGAATACGTCACGCGCACAAAATGTGTGTAAAAGACATTAGCGCGTGATTCAGCCCGTGAACCACAGGCGCGAGTACTCCATTCGTTAGCGCTACACTTTCTGGTTCTAAATGACGTCACACTTTCGGTACTCCATTGGAGTTGAACAAAAGCACACTGTACAATCCGAGCTGGTGCTTGGTATTCTCGTCATAAAACAGCATCAATTAAGTTATACGTTGTATTAGTTGCCTGGCTGTTTTAGACCTTTGTTCAATCTAGCATTGCTTCTTAAAAAGAGCGTAACGTTCACAGCAGCAGAGATGTGCCTGGTTTGTGCGGACATGTAACCCAGGCAGTCATACCTTGCATATGAAGGTCATTACGGGGTACTTATAGCTAGTCCTTGTTAGACTGTACCATACAGAAGAAAGTCGTAAGAAGAGGGGCAACAGGACAATAGAAGTACCCCGGCATAATGCGAATGTATGTGGCTGTTACTGTTTAATGTTTTTTTGCCGTGACAGGCACAGAACTGGGCCTCATGTTTGTTTATCTCAACTGTTTTTTATCTCAAATGAGTGATCAGACTCCAAACCTTACACATGTTTTTGCCGTCCAATTTCAGATGTGCCACCGCATTCACGGGCTCCAACTGCGAGTCAGTTATTCCTGTTCCTACAGAGAAACCAGTTACTTTTGCCCCAACCATGGCGCCAGGTACATGTTTATTTATATAGACACTTCGCTTCAGAGTTGTAGATAAATCACATTGTGGCAATCTTTGTGATCACATTTGAAATATTTGCGCTCTAGTTGGTGTATGCATATGGTAAAGGGTCTTTGTATATCTAAAGCATAGCAATTGGACACATGAACTAATTGTGAACACGTAAAATCTTGTCAAATTGAAACTGCATGAAGGTTTCTCTGCAGAAAATGTAAACTTTTCACACTGCAAATATGCAGTTGTATTTTAAGCATACAGATTACAGAGCCACTTGGTGACAAAACTTTGTCGTGTCTGTGCAACAAGGTCATATCTCCTAAAATGGGCCGTACGTGAAACGCAAGTTTCAGAGTGTCAAAGGTCGTAGATTACTTAAATAACCCGGATGTGCACAAAGTCAATGCACGTCGAGATACAACCTTGTTGCACGGTGCGTATTCGCGCGAGTTACGACTTTGTTGCAGAATTAAGTTGCGACCTTGTCGCACTGACGCGACGAATTGAACTTAATATGAGAAAAACACACATTTGGTAGTTTCATTGAAAAAGCTTCGTACGTGGAAGCATTTTCTTTCTAGATAAAAATGTCAACATTCCGAGCCTTATTTTCAAGATCGTTTCACTACCAATTAATGAAAGCACATTTTCTTTCGCTTGTGTTGTTTAGGTGACTCCATGTCACTGTTGACGGCTGTGCTGATTCTGCTGGCCGTGATAGCCCTGTTGCTGGTTCTGTCCTGCCTCTGTTGTTTCTTGGCCCTCCGACTACGAAGACGGCGGCGTAGGTATCCGGTGTATGAGCGGCGAGTCATGTACGCGTACTTCAATCCCGTTGCAGGGAGGACAATGAAGCGGCCCGAGTTTGTCACGCCCTACGTAGCGAGCGGCCAGGAAGCTAGAAACTACTATGACCAGAGGGTGAGTCGGAAAAATGTCTGTTGATTTTTGTTTTGGATTTGTGCCTTGGAATTGTTTCGGGGATCGAGTCCGAAGTCCCAAGCAAGTATGCTTATGACAAGAAACACCATATATGGGACTACTTTGCTTCAGTCACATTAGCAGTTCTTCCAATGGTTGTATTTTTTTTACAGTACCTGAAACCACCCAAGTGTTTTTGGAATGTGAATGGACATGTAGGCTTATAATATGTGTTGAATCATTTTCTTTCTTTCCTTTTTTGATTTTTAAAATCACCCTCAAATTTCCATCAAAAATGGACGGAAAAAGTTACCTAAGATTTTTGTCCGCCAGTTGATGGAAAATTGAGGATAATGTCAAAAACAATATAAATAATCAACTCAAATTATCTTTAGTCTTTAGTCCCTTCATGTGTTGAAATTCTTCTTTGGTGGTTTCAGGTATTTAACAAAAAATCACAATCATTGGAAAAACTGCTAACGTCACTGTAGCAGAGTGGCCGCCTTTAGTGTGTTTCTTGTCTTGAGTATTTTTTCCATTTTTTGTATTGAGTATTTTTGTCTTGAGTAATTGGCCACAGGACTGATGATTTTCTTTTCCCCGTTTGATATTGAGTCCATACATTTTTGTTTGATTTGCAGGCTTTTGAAGGGCGGTATCCAGTTGCTGGCCGCGTTGTCAAAAACCCCATCCTAGCAGAAGCATGAGTCTCTGCATCTCTACAATTCTTCGCTGTAATTAAAAGGAAATCGGTAGATCTCTTTCTTTATCAAATTTAAAATGTCCTTCTTTAACTTGATCATTTTGATGTACATCCATCGTAGAACTGTACTTTCGCCACCAGCTTAACCCTAAAAGGGCCGGGTTATTTTGACCATCTCTCAGCTGGGGGAGGGGGCGGAATCCTAAGATCTTGGCCATCGATTATCGAAAACATTTGAAACTCAGTACATGCATAGAGCAACTCTTCCTTAACATACCCAAGAAATTTCATAACTATAGGTCAAAGGGTTTTGGAATTATGGGTAATTAATTATTCATATGTACGAATGACAATTCTGCTCTGAGTACACGACGTATATCGGAAAATTCAGTTTTCACGGCGCGTAGCGCCAGAAAATTTTGCGCTACGCGGCAACCCGTGGTCCGATTTTTATGTTTTTGGTATCAAAAGATGCGCAAAGCTCGAGGCTAAAAAGTCATAACAGCTATTTATAAATTTTTTTAGAGGCTATCGTGAAAAATGTTGAGGGTTAAACTGCTTTAACTACAGCAACACTTCCAAGACAGTTTGGTATTTGTATTTATAAGTTATAAACCTAGCTGCACTTCTTTTCTATTCTGTTCTTTGTTCCGTCAAGTTTCAACTACAAGAGCCTTCACTAGCAGATTGCACATTTTGTATATTAAGGTTGAAGACTTTGTACAAATTAGAGAATATAGGATTATACAAATTGAGCAATGGGCCAAACAGCAATATACATGTACTGTGTATCTGGGCCGAATTTCATGGCTTTGCTTACCAAAGAATCCGTGCTTGCGATCACCATTTAGCGCTGTCCGCACTAGCAGAAAACTTCTGTGCTAACCCTGTAAGCACAGAATCCTTAGTTACAAAATGCACGCGTGCGCAGGATCAAAAATTCCTCGCTGACCCGTGAAATACGCTAAGCAGGGAATATTCCGCTCTAGTAAGCAGGGATTTTTCGCTGCCGGTCAGCAGAGCCAAGAAATCAGGCCCCAGTTACCCACCAACCCTAAAATTGGGGTTGACATTTGACATTTTTGAAAAACATAAAAAAAATTATAGCGTGAAGCTTGATTGAGAGCTAATGTGATTGTTGCATAATTTCGGGCTTTGCAATGACAAGCTGGAAAACATTCTTAGAGTTACAGCCAAATCTTCCTCTAAGCTGGAGAAACCTTCCTCAAAGCTGGAGAATATTGGCACAGTTTACCAGCCTCTCGTATAAATATTTATTTACTCTATATTAATAGAACCTAAACAGTAAAATGCATATTTTGCAACTTTGAGTCTAATTTTGTATATTTTTTGAGTGTGTAATTTCTTATATATTTTTTTTGGAAAAACTTAATGTAATAAATATGGTTTATTTGATTTGTGAGACTAAGTCAAGTTTAAGGCATTCTGATATGACTTCAAGTTTGATTTCATTAATGCCAAACATAGTCTTAATTAAAGTCAAACTTTGGGTTTATTGAAAAACAATATAGTCATTACATTACAGTAATATTTTTGGTGTCCAAAATGCTTTGGTCGAAAATGCTTTCTTTGTTGCTTATTGCGCCCTTATTCCTCAGGAATGGGGATGATGTAGCCCCTTCCCCAAATTTGCTAACCTTTGTGATCAATTACAAAGAAAATGCGGAATAACTAAATTTGAAAAATTAGGAGCAATTTAAAAAAAACACCCAGTTTTCTCCAATGCTGGTCGGCCGTCCAGCATTGGAAAAATACAATTTTTCTTGAAAATTTCAGCACACCAGGAGCTACGAATTTACAGGATGCTTTTGACTGTCGATACCCTAATAATCCATTATAGGTATGTCGTGATAATGAGATCGTTTCGTTTATTGATGTTTGCAAATGTTGTATCTTCCCTTTAAAGGCAGAGTGTTAAATCCAATATACATGTAAAACTTTTGTTTATCTAGACGGCAAAACTGAATATGGAGTTTGAACAATATATAAGGAGTGGTAGGTGAAATGAATTAAAACAATACATTTTAGCGCTTCAATATAACTCGCCATTTGTAAGTGCCATTTGTAAATAATAGAATCACATATTTATTTAGGTGTTAGGTTTTTTAAATTTATCTTAATTTGAGTTGGACTATAGAAACTTGACAGAGGGCGCTGTTAATTTTTTTGCGACAAGGAAAAGCATCACATGATATCAGAACAGGAGTTGTTGAAATAGCGCTCCCATCCGACAGTTACTGCGTGGTTTCTAAACGCCAATATGTTTACAAACCGCGTCGAAAGTGACAGTAGGACGTTTGTGACAAGGAAGGAGAAAAATCTCACGTGCAGTGATTTATAAAGTCCAATGCAGAGAGCTTGAGGTCTCACTTGAATAAGGCAAGGTTGTTGAAACAACAGCGAACAGAATCCGTTTGGACTGACGGATACTTTAGAATGCGATTCAGGCTGCTGTTTGGTCAAGCGTTTCGTTCAAGACAACTTGGAAGGTTCACCCGGAATCGATTTCAGCTGTTATCAGCTGTACTAAACTAAGCTGTCTAACTAAGAATGGTCGGCTATATGAACGCTGAATTTGATGGGTGGCACGCCGGGTGAATGCAGTTGAGCGCACGGTAGCTCAAAATCATTCACACAGAAAAATAGAGTCTACTAGGCATTTTCTGTCAGAAGTCAGCTCAAACTGTTGCGCTATTCGCTCAACACTCGCATCATCAGCTTGTGCAACAATCAGTGGCGTACGTGGAACTGCTATGGAGAGCACAATGAATATGTCTACCTTTGACACCCCTGAGTTAACAACGGTTCATAAGATCACAACTACCAATGAAGCGGCTACATCTGCCTCCCAGTCGACCATTGCTCCCTTCTTTCTTGACGTCTGGTTAGACTGGCTGAAAGAGGAGACCTGGCGGATTCCCGTGGTGGGTGGACTAACGCTGGCCTTGCTGGTCCTGGTGGTTCTTTTGACCGCAGTATGCTGCGTTCGACGGCGGAGATCCCGGCGGAAGCGGCACACTGTCACCCAACCGGGGAGCTTCGCGGGAACCCCGCCGGGAATCTTCCTCTCTTCCCCGGTCGATGATGACGACGATGGCGATCAGATTGCCGAGAACATCGAGACAACAGCACCAGGAGAGCGGACGGAAGACGATCGCCTGCCAGACTCTCCCGTGGTTGAATCAAAAACGTTTAAGCCAGTCAATCATCCTAAGCCGTTGCCAGCCGTGCCATCAGGGGCAGCGCCGCAAGCCGAGTCGACTCCGGGCACCTGTGAGGACAAGGGAGGGTCGATGAAGCTCAACCAAGGAGGGGAGGAGTTCGTCTACTCTTCCAGGGCCAAGTCCAAGTGGAACACGCCCAAGTTCGGCCCCCGCCCGATGCCGCCGCCCAAGAAGACGCAACGTAAGAAGGACTCTCTCAAACGGTCAAGACACAACCGCGGGCTTGCCTACGCTGAAGTTGAACTCGGCCCAGCTGTCCAAGTGAACGAAGAGGTTATCTCGACACAAGAACCGACCCTGTACGCCAAAATTGCCGGGACCTTTCAACTGTTTACAAAATGAGGTGCCCTTTTTATTTTAAAGTCTTAACAGAGTCGCAGGCCTTTTTATGGCTAGAGATTCGACAAATGGCACTTTTCATATTTTCAACTCTGTGTTCTTAACGCTATTGACAATTCCATTGAACTAACCTAGGCTAGTAATTATCTCATAACAAAATATTTTCCAAATTTTTGGACAAAAAAATTACCTCATGTAGCATCTCTCTATTTATATAGGTCGGCTTTGAGTCATGATACATAACGGCGCCCTCTTTTGTCAGAAATCAGGAAATGGCAGGCACTGATGTTTTTTTTTAGCTCTTAATAAAAACAAAAATGTATTAAGTATTTAGAAATTGCAATATACAAGTTAACAAAAGAAGACCACAGCTTTTAAAATGGTAATAATTATTTGGACACTTTCAATAATCGAACACAGACTGACGTGTTAGAAAGCATACATCAGCATGGCATCATGCATTAAATACACTTTTGACGTATTTTTTTCTGTTCGGTTTTTAGTTCAATGCTACTAAGTATGACACAAAAAGGTATTGAAACTCGTTTATTGTAAAAAAAAACAAAAACAGAAATGTAAAAAGGCAAACTGGTAATACCGAAGAAACGTTTGTAACTTGGCCGGTATTAATCGCCATCTTTTTTCTGCGCCTTTAGAGATCGTGTAATGTATTGTTATGCTAATTAAACTTTGCATATTCCTGAGCAAAGGTGTGACGTCATTTCAGGCAGAAAACTCAATGTTACAGCTATTTCAGCACAAAAAAAATGGCCAGAATTTTGGATATTGTGCTGCACGGTCGTAAATTGTCTTATATTTGGTGACTCGTTCTTCCAGTACATGACAAGTGGGCCAATGAGCAAAGTTTTCTCTCAAAACGTTTTCAATGAGCACATTTAGGGTTCACAATTTGAACAGAAAACTCTAAAACTGAGCATTGTCCGACGTTGTCCCCAGTGCTAATACTCTATTTCCTACCTCCGATCCAATAGTAAGCACTGGATAGGAAGCTTTCTTCTTGTTTCAAGTCAATCATACTCCATCATTATATTCACACCGGGCCTACTGGACCAAGTCCCCCAGAATCCACCAAAAGTAAAGGATTTATATCGTGTACCTGGTGTTACATTTCCAACGTGCAGTACATGTTTTCACGATCATTGTAATTATAACGGCCACGCTTTCTCAAACAATACTCCTTTCCTTTCCAATTTGCTCGTATTAATATGAAATGTGATACTGCATATTGCCAGGACGAGAATGTAACATTTTAACTTGAATTTTAAACTTTTAAGCTGAACTGTCGTTCTAAAAAAATGTTAATTAAATTCTTATTTTGACTGATTTTGCCCAAGATAGCACATCGATCCAGAAGTCAAATTGAAATGTGTTCTCAGGCCCTTCGCAAATCTTCCCTACAAGTGTCAAGCAATTGCATTGTTCAGCGCAAATTAAAAGGAAAAAATTGAAGAAAACAATGAACAATTTTTAGTGATTTTTCCTTAATATTCGACGAAATTTCCCTTGTTATAGCTCATCTGTTCAGAAATCGATTTGGCTTGTGTGCTAGGGGTCTTTAGGCAGCTTTCCAGCAACTTTCAATTAATTTCATTTTTTGGCCAAAATTGAAAAAAATACAAGGGGTTAGCCTTACATTTTTAGTCAAATTTGGCCAAAAAAATATTTTGTCTCAAAACAAGGCAGGAATTCATCTGGATGCAAGAGGAACATCAATCAATACTCTAACACGCATAATTGTGAAGATTTGGGCAAAAATCATCAATTTTTGAAGGAAAAAATGAACAATTTTGAGTGATTTTATCTGAAATTTTCGAAGAAATTTCCCTTGTTATAGCTCATCTGTCCAGAAATCGATTTGGAATGTTTTCTAGGGCCCTTTAGGCAGCTTTCCAGCAACTTTCAAGCAATTTCATTTTTTGGCCAAAATTGAAAAAAATACAAGGGATTAGCCTTACATTTTTAGTCAAATTTGGCCAAAAAATGATTTTTCTCTAAACAAGGCAGGAATTCATCTGGATGCAAGAGGAACATCAATCAATACTCTAACACGCATAATTGTGTAGATTTGGGCAAAATCATCAATTTTTGATGAAAAAAATGAACAATTTTGAGTGATTTTACCTTAAATTTTCGACGAAATTTCCCTTGTTATAGCTCATCTGTCCAGAAATCGATTTGGAATGTGTTCTAGGGCCCTTTAGGTAGCTTTCCAGCAACTTTCAAGCAATTTCATTTTTTGGCCAAAATTGAAAAAAATACAAGGGGTTAGCCTTACATTTTTGGTCAAATTTGGCCAAAAAATGATTTTTCTCAAAACAAGGCAGAAATTCATCTGGATGCAAGAGCAACATCAATCAATACTCTAACACGCATAATTGTGAAGATTTGGGCAAAAATCATCCATTTTTGAAGAAAAAACATTAACAATTTTGAGTGATTTTACTTGAAATTTTCGACGAAATTTCCATTGTTATAGCTCAACTGTCCAGAAATCGATTTGGAATGTGTTCTAGGGACCCTGAGGTATTTTCCTAGCAAGTTTCAAGAAATTTCATTTTTTGGCCAAAATTGAAAAAAATGTAAGGGGTTAGCCTTACTTTTTTTCGATTTTGGCCAAAAAATGAATTTTCTCCAAATTACTCAGAAATGCTTAAGGATGCTTTGGGAGCATGATTTAATATTCAGACCGGCAAAATTGACTACATTTTGGCCAAAATTGTGACATTATTGGGTAGAAATTCATATATTTGACCTATTTTACCTCAAATTGTGGACGTAATATTTCCTTTTTAAAGGCCTATCTGTCCAATATAGGAGTGGAAACGTGTTCTAGGGACCCTTAGGTATCTTCCTAGCAAGTTTCAAGAAATTTCATTTTTTGGCCAAAATTGAAAAAAATGTAAGGGGTTAGCCTTACTTTTTTTTCGATTTTGGCCAAAAAATGAATTTTCTCCAAATTACTCAGCAATGCTTAAGGATGCTTTTGGAGCATGATTTAATATTCAGACCGGCAAAATTGACTAAATTTTGGCCAAAATTGTGACATTGTTGGATAGAAATTTCATATATTTGACCTATTTTACCCCAAATTGTGGACGTAATATTTCCTTTTTAAAGGCCTATCTGTCCAATATAGGAGTGGAAACGTGTTCTAGGGACCCCGAGGTATCTTCCTAGCAAGTTTCAAGAAATTTCATTTTTTGGCCAAAATTGAAAAAAATGTAAGGGGTTAGCCTTACTTTTTTTTCGATTTTGGCCAAAAAATGAATTTTCTCCAAATTACTCAGAAATGCTTAAGGATGCTTTGGGAGCATGATTTAATATTCAGACCGGCAAAATTCGCTAAATTTTGGCCTAAATTGTGACATTATTGGGTAAAATTTCATATACATTTATTTGACCTATTTTACCTCAAATTGTCGACATAATATTTCCTTT